GGGTAGAACCTGAGGAGGACCTCGTGTTCAAACTCTGACGTGTTGCTGTGATTTATAAAGGAAAGATGCGCAGAAACATGCGTACGGTTTTATAAATCTGAATTTTTTTTGGCGTACGCCATTTCTGCCTTTTGGCCGTATGTTTACTTTTAGTATGGTTTCCAGGCAACCCTTTATAAATGAGACCCCTGGACAGTCCAGGACAGTCCAGGACAGAGCTCATGTTTCCTGTCAGCACAGAGTTGAGTTGGACTGGGGACAGGTACGTTGTTGGACATGACTTCCTGTGTTCAGTTTCAGTCCATAGGATGACACATGAGGCCTGGCCTGTTTGTGTATAAAAATACAGAGAAACACTTGAAGTCCTGATGAGGTAAATGTATGCAGCTGTGGCGGAGTGGTTAGTGGGAGTCGTCCTGGAACTGGAAGGTCGTCGGTTCGATCCCCCGTTCCAGCTGCTTCAGTCCTTGTGTCCTTGGTTAAGACACTTCACCCACCTTGCCTACTGATGGTGGTCAGAGGGTCTGGTGGTCCCGGTGCATGGCAGCCCCACCTCTGTCAGTGTGCCCCAGGGCAGCTGTGGCTACAGTGTAGCTTACCACCATCAGTGTGTGAATGTGTGTAAGTGTAAAGAGTTTTAAAGGATATAAAGTTCAGTCCATTTACGGTTCCTGTTAATTTCCCACAGAATGAGTGTGAACGTGGTTTCTCCTGTGATGTAATGCTCATCCTTCGGTCTGCTCAGACTGGGRTCTTCTTTGGTCTAAAGTGGATCCTCTGGAACTAGTTCTTACATGACGTGTGTGTAAGGTTGGACTCAACTAGTGAGAGTKTGTGATTTATTCTGTTTTCTGTTAAAGGGAGTCACAATGTTTGGACCATGTAGCAGCAGAGCTTCAGCTCAGACACAGATAACAGCCGACTCTTACCCGTCTCTGTAATTGATCACGGTGTCGATGATGGTGTTCATCTGCTTGGTGAGCTTGGGGGGGTTGGGGGACAGCTTCTCCGCTGGAGGACGTCCACGTCTCTTCTTGGCCTTCAAGCCTGCGTCGTCTCGACTCGACGAGTCTTTGCCCACACGCCGCTTACGTTTGCGTTTTTTCAGGCGGATCTCCTCCTCCATCTCCTCCAGGTTTCCATCCTCGATGGCCTGCAGGTTGGATTATCTGTCAGCAGACTAACAGCTTCAGCTACAGTCTTTATGACTCAACAYAAACTTTCTATCTTCTGTCAGAAGAGCTGACAGGTTGAAACAATTCAATCCTATGACTTGTTCAGGCTTTTTAATGACCGATGTCCAAAAATGCATTCATGAACCATGTTTCCATCAAGGCTTTTGATGCACATTTAGAAGTGTCGCATTAAAAATGTGCAAAATAGTCAGATGGAAACAGAAAAATTCGAAAAAAAAAATCCTCAATTCGCTAAAAAGTTTTTACGCTCTCTCGAGGTGGTTTTTGGATGATTCACAAAGTAGTTAATGCGCAAAACAGGAGATGGAAACACGTTTGCTGAATAAATCCTGACGTAGCGCATATTTACCTCACGTGACGTTGAGCTGTTTACTCTTTCCTGCCTCGTCTGGATGTTAGACCTGCGTAGATACACGTGTCGTTCTGCTGCGTAGTTTAACATTGCGTTTATTTCTCTACGTCTCCTGGCAGCGTTAAACANACAAGAACAGCAGGACAGCAAAAGTGACACTTTTGATACACGCGCAGGGCGCATCCACCTCACCAGTGTGGATGTTATAAAACTTCACATTTAAAGTCTGTATTTGTCACGCGAGGGTGTGTGTGTGTGTGTGTGTGTGTGTGTGTGCGCGCGCGCGTGTGCGCAGGGGGCGGGGGTGTCTGCCACCGATAACAGAGCAGGCAGGAGGGGGAGAGGACGAGGAGAAGAGCGCTGAACTAATTTTATCTGACTTATTTAATTTTATTTTTATTGTTTTTATCGTCCTGCAGGCTCTGAGAGAAAATTAATTTGAAGCAGTTTTTTTTTAAATAAAAATCGTTAGATTACTCTAAAGCAAAATGAGTGAAAATCTGTGTCAGTTCCAGACATTGTGTTCAGGTGAGCAGCTGTCAGTCAGCACCTGTCTGAACCAATCACTGATCATCTGACTGATTTAAATACATCTTAACATTCATGAGGTACTTTACATTGACTGTTTATGGT